TGGTTCCTGATGCACGTCATTTTATTTGTCAGATTGGATTCAAAATGGCTGACTGGCGGCCATTTTGTTTTAATGATTGGGCTTCTAGAGCCATGTCTCTTAAATGCTTTGACTGATTATGTTCAAATTTTATATATTCGTTATAAATCATGTTATATATATATACATGTATTCAAAATGGTTGATTTTGAATGCTGTTCCAGAGCAATATCTCTCAATATGGACAAGTACTTGTGTGACGATCAGATACAAATGTCAATCATTTTAATGTTAAAAAATCATATTTCTGACATGGTTATATTCCAGCTATATTACTATAAACAAAACTATATATCTTAAATTTGATAACTAACGAGGACTGTGCCATGCATGGCTTGTTGTACATGTAAACTGTATGCTGAATTATTATCCATGTACAGTGCAGTGACTTCCTCTATGTAAAGAACATCTGTCTGATAGTTCCAAGGTATAATGTATGAACAACCTGTCTATAAAGACCACCTGTCTATAGTGACCACTTTTAGGCAGTCCCAAGGTGTAATGTATGAACAACCTTTGTATAAAGACCACCTGTCTATAGTGACCACTTTTAGGCAGTCCCAAGGTGTAATGTATGAACAACCTTTGTATAAAGACCACCTGTCTATAGTGACCACTTTTAGGCAGTCCCAAGGCGCAAGAAGTGATCAACCTTTGTATAAAGACCACCTGTCCATAGTGATCACTTTTAGGCAGTCCCAAGACATATAATGTACATGTACAAATGTATGAGCAACCTGTGTATACAATTTGTAAAGACCACCTGTCCTATATAACCACCTTTTTAGCAATATTTTTGTACTTTTGTTATTGTTTAGAGACTAGAATAACAATTAACGCTGGACAAATATAATGTCAAATATGTATGAGTTTGTGATCCATTCAAATATAATCCAACCTTTATAGATTACTTACCTGACTATAAAGACCTTTTAAAGCGGGAGGGTTGTCACCTGTGCATGCGCGGAAATTGAGTCCCACACGCGCTAAAAACGCAAAGGCTCATGAGTAGACACTTGCTTGTAAACAATGACATGCTATGGTCATCTGACGCATACGCAGGTGACAACTCCCTTGCTTTAAGTAAACAAATACAGTATATTCATTGATAAAAATATGTTTGTATTCTTATACTTATACATGTATCGCAATCACTCTATTTGGAGTTTATTTACTTACATGTAGATTGATGACAGAGGTGTGTTTGATCAAAAGTCGGGAATTCAAATTTTGTGTACTACATGTATGACTTATGATTTGGAGAAGTTGGGAATCGCTTACCCAAGAGTCAAAATTTACAAATGTATGAGGCTTCCTGTTATTTTAAAGTACCTTAATCAGATACTTCAAACTTCTTGAAAATAACAGCATTTAACATTCATTCTACTGATACATTTGTACATGTACATGTGCATGTATATATAGCCAGAATGTAACATGATGAGGTGTGTTGACTGTTGTGTATGAACTGTATTGTGACTATACATTCATTCCAGAAAACTAAAGATAGTTATAGCATACATTGTATACATGTCTAGCCAATTTATGTATAGTAATAATCTATTATAAGATTGGGCTTAGTGTTTTTTAGTTTTATCTCCTAAAATATTGCCATCATCTGCGAGACTGTTTATGTTTATCTTAATTTACTAGTTTACCCCATGATGTAGTCTAATTAAATCTCCAAACATGTAATTAATGTTCACTGCCTTCTGATTGGTTCAAAGATAACCTTCTATAAAACATTTACTGGGAAGCTCTAGGCAGTTCTAAATTATCCTAAGTTATTAATTTAAGAGCAGTTACTGATTACTTCCTAACTGACATGTTTCCACCAACACATGAATAAATTTGTTGCCCCTGTTTATTGCTGATTGGGCAATTTGATATGATTACTACTAGGCCTTGAATTTTACCCTCTTTCTAAAGATTATCACCCAGGTTCATGGACACATACAGCTGTACATGTAATTTGTATTTTCTCTTAGCATATTAGACGAGTATCTCCCATAAAAGCACACATACATGAAATTTAAAAATTGTATTTTTTGTATCCTGGATCATTAAAATAGTATTTATTTCATTCATAGACACACCTCTATCATTCATGTGAGTAAATGTGCTATTATATGTTCCGCTTGTAAGAGCGGAACAAGAATCCAAACCGATTCTTATCACATGTAAATACTGTATTTACTCTTTTAGTAGTATATGCACTGACATTAAAGAAATGTGTCGATGATCAAAATATAAAGTCATATTATAATGATATAGTACACAGTAAAAAAAAAAATTAATTTATGTGTGCTGTTTACCCCCATATGTTACATTTTATATTTCACAGAACACTTTTCTTTTTATGTATACATGTAACTCTATAATTAATTTTTATGAAATTTGCCTGTGTTAAATATTTTATGAAGTAATTTTGACTCAGTATCTAGTGGAATAAAAAGTACAGAAAAAAATAACTTGCACTTTCAAATCTTACAGATTGCTTAACCTAGCTTTCTCTCACTCCTTACACATCAATGGCTAGATTACAGAAACACATAACCTGTGAAAGTATAGGGCTTAAAAGAGTTGTGTGGATTTGGGAACTAATTTGTTAAATGTAATGGCAGGCTGATGTCGCTCAGTGAATTGAAATAGAAGCTTTAGTGAAAGTAAGCTTGAAGGCTTAGTAGGAAACCTTCCTTTGTGGATTTTTGAGAAGCCTTGGGAATACATCGTACATATGATTGATATCGCGTATATGCATGCATCTTTTCACAAGCCCTATTAACCCCAATGACTACAACTCACGCACAGTAGTCATAATGTAACAGTTTTGTTGCAACTTGGTTTTTTATCTGATAATGTGAAGAATTATTTGCCAGTCTATCTTTGCTTTCATCTCCGTCTAATCTCAGACATCACAAATGGTTAAAATGTTTTTCAGTAAAAATATGATTAGTTGATTATTTGTGAATTGTGCACTTTGACTCATACTCGTGCTGCAGAGACTCTGAAATATTTTTCTCAGAGGGAACATTTTTTTTCAGTCCCTATTCGAACGTGGTTTGACCTCTGTGTATCCGTGTGTGCATCTGCACCTATATCTTAGACATGCCTGGACCGATTACATTCAAACTTCACCCATACATCATACATAATATTATACATATATATGCACATCAATTTGTTTCACAATCTGATTAAAGATGGCTGAATGGCGGCCATTTTTGTGCTGAAAAATCATCTAAATCAAGCATTTATTGATGGATTTTGTTCAAACTTGGTGCATACATTATGGGACCTTGATGCACATCATTTTATTTTTCAAATCTGACTCAAAATGGCTGACTGATGGCCATTTTGTTTTAAAGAATGTGGTTCTAGAGCCGTATCTCTGACATGATTTGACTTAAAATTTATATATTCATTCTACATCATGTTATAGATTTACTGATGTATTCAAAATAGACGACTAGTGGCTATTTTGTTTTAATTAATGCTGTTCCACAGCAATATCTCTCAATATGGACAAGTACTCCTTTGACGATCAGAAACAAGATGACAGAATTTCAGTCTTAACAAATCACCATAATCAAGCATCAGCTTTTGGATCCATATCTCTGACATGTTTATGTTTGAACTATATATTACTGTAAACAAAATTATAAATCTTAAGTTTGATAACTAACGAGGACTATGCCATGCATTGCTTGTCTTTAATAGGTCAGCCTTCAGTCAATCTAGTTCCATTGTTGGTTGCCATGAGAACTATCGTAATCAGGAAATCTTACATATTGTATGTTTTAAAATAAATATTTATAACGCTAACAAGTTTCAATGCAAAATGTACAAAGAAGTTGCCTAACTTGCATGAGTGTCACATTGAGATTAATGGTGCAAGTTTTAAATGCTAAAATCCAATGATTTTCAATGAAAATTAATATTATGTTTGAGGTCAAATGCAAATATATTTAATTCATGCATATATACATGCACCCTCGCCATAGAGGGCAGTCTTTACATCTGTGCAGTTACTGCTGATAATCTTCAATAGTTGATAAAATTTGAATTCACACAAAGTAAATCTAGATTGTAAAATGTTACATGTGAATGGAGATTGAGATAGTGTGAATGTAGTAAACTTAATGGATTGTACTCGCATGTACAGTGTAGTAGCCAGAAGCCTGAGGTTATCAGTGCTTTTTTTACATGAAAGCAAACAATTGTATGCCTCCTGCCATAATCAGTGAAGCTAATGATTAATGCATGCAATACATATCTGAAAGTGAATAACAGTTTGTTTTTTCTAAAGTGGTATAGTAGCTTTATGTTGCCTTACGATTTACGCTTTTACTCAGTATCCCCTGATAATTGTGTTACAAATGGAATAACATTGAAGCTTCTTCTACTGATTTGATATCCAAAGCACTAAACAGTTTTGCTGCCAGTAACATTGGAAGTCGCATTTATGAATACTGTCTCCAACTCTGTATCTGCTCTGGTAAAAGAGACATCTACTTTAGAAGTATCAATAGTTGCATTAATGTTTACTTCATACATGTACATTATTAATATTATCAAATACAGAATGTTAATAATGATTTTTTTTTTGTGTTGATTTAAATTCTGGCATTTCAAATGGTCAATAAAACAGAGTTGCATTTCGGTTTGTGTTTTTTTTTCTCTATTTGACAGTTACTGTAATATTATGTTACCTTTTGTGTTTTTTTTAGGGTCGTACCATGCCATCATTAACAAGATCATTTGCTGGGACCATGATCACCTCAGATCAGTTTGGTACACCATCATACCCTTCACCGTTAGACAGAATTAGAACTGGTAAAAGGTAAGAATGATAAATCTTCAGATAAATTATTACATACATGTACATGTACCACCACTTTACTGTAAATTTTTGCTAGAATTTTAATTTATTTATTAATAATTATTTACCAAATTTTATTTATTTAAATTAGAACAAAAACAAAATTTGTGCTTCTCTATCCAGGGAAAATCTTAATTTTTTTTATGGTATTACAAGTTATTTTACAACAAGATATACCATCTTGTGTATGTTCAATGTTTAACATAGATACATATGTACATGCATGCATTAAAGTTTATTTGGATTCGTAAACATCCTCTGAAAATAGAAACCAAACTTTTTCCCATTCTACAGCATGTCATGCACTTCAAAGGTATGCACAAATTCTAAAAAAACTGACACAATGATGAGAAGCAATAATTTTCACTGAAGCCTTAATTAATTAATTTATTAATACAATGTATATGTAAGTACAGTTGTATGAGGAAAAACTAATATTTTCACTATAGCTTTGTCACAAATGTATGCTATACCCATACATTGCCCACTCATGCAGTAGTCAGATTTACCAGAAAGTACCAGAAATGGTAATGGTTTTCTAAATTTCATATAACATCATAGTAATTCAATGATAAATCCTGAATCTACAACTCAGGTTGAATTACACATCTGACATACATACATTCACGTCTACGATTACATATAAACATACATTGTACAGTATAAAAATAATATACAAGTATAGTAGATAATATTTGGTAATTGTTTCCCTTTAACTATTAGTAACTATTCAAAATAGCTAGACATTTCAAGCAATGGCTGTTTAATGATAGCATGGAAGAAAATGTTTAAATGCATAGATACAATGTAGAACGTAAAGAAAATGCACAACAACCATAAAATGCAATCACTGAAAGATTCCACAATATAATCATCTACATGTATATGTGCACTAAGTAGTAAGCAAAGAGAATGAGAACCAGTTTTGTCCTATAAACGTAAAAAGAATGATAAAACAAACAGATAACAAGTATGGAAATTAGAACAACAAACAACACACAACGTTCTGCTAGGACGGCATTTTGAACCAAAGCTTGACATGTGTCACATGGCTGACAACCGTTGTCACGGTATCTTGCGGGATCTCACAGTGAGCGGAATATCCACTATTGTTTGTTTTTTTGTCTTGATTATTTAGAGAAAGAGCTGCACAGCTTGGCTTGAGTTCAACTGGTAACACCTCATTTGAATTGAACCAATCCTTCCCCAAAACTGACAAGTCTAAATACAAGAATGATGAAGTCACCTCACCAGCTGAACCGTTAGGAGTTACATTAGATAAATTTACAGGTAAATACACTGTATTATGTATTATGTATTATATATGTATTATTCTATTTATTTTGTCTTAGTCTGGTTTACCAGCAGCTGAACACTGGGTACCTACCCTTGGTACCTTAGATTAATTAGATTCTACCCTTGGTTGGACTCTGTGGATAGCTCACTGTAAACTATTTAATTTTCACTGCCAGAAATGTTCACGATTTACAAATTTTACGGCATTTGTAAAGATAAATGTTACCAAAAGTCACTGACACACTCTGTGTTGTAAAACCCCAGAAATATTTTCACAGCTAGAAATGTTGTGATTTTCACTGACCCACGAAAATCAGTTTCTTGTAAAATTGAAGCAATTTACAACCGCATTCAACCGTACTGAGGTGTGCGTTCCACAAACTCAATGGAGAAGTCTCAGCTACTAATCAAGAAGATTCATTCACTGATGGATTCAATTTTTGAAGATCCCATGTTAAGATTTGCAGGTGTATATACAGGTCTGATTGATGCTAGAATGCACAGTAAATTTCCATAATACTGTTATCATAGGAAGATGGTCACAGAGGTCCCGTAATCACAAACACGCATTATGGTTTCTGTGGCAAAAACTTACATCCAAACAGATTCAAATTCATCATACATGACATGCTTGATGATAATTGAAATAAATTCACCCAATACCAATAATTTCTTTGCAACTTTCAGGAGATGAATTGAATAGTTACAGTTTTGCACCCGGCCATTCTAAGGGATCGTTTGCGCCGTCACCTGACTTGAATCTTAACCAGTCCATGGGTACATCATGGACATTCTATAATTTTGTTGGTGGTGGTCAGTCTGGTGTAGCATTTCCAACAACTGTGAAGAATCCTAACAAAGCTGTGTGTACTGTGGAAGCCAGAACAACAAAGGTAAGACCATTCTGGAAATACATTTTTTATTTTTTGTACCATCTGTAATCTTGAAATGTATCTAGATCATACACCTTTTTCGACAGACTTCTTTTTAAATTGACCTAGACACGAGGCACCTCTGTTACGTAGTAACATTAGTAAAGCATATTTAAATTTTATCTCTCATTCTGAGAAAGTTAATAACCTTGCTGCTATAACAACTTAAAATGCATAATCTGAAAGCTTAGATATAGGCAAATATGGTAGTGCATATACTATTATACCAATATTTAACAAATTACCCGACAGCCAGTTTTACTTATATCGACTATTGAAACACCAGTTTTTAATACTTTCAGTAATATGAATGACCTGTGAATTGCTCAGGACGTTGGTACTACTGGACTAGACGAAGGCGTCTTTGTTTTACCTTCACTTCTACCTGTTTTCTAGCTACATTGTATTCCCAATATTAGGCACATGTCCTGCTAATAGAGTAAATGCAGTCTTACTTGCCCTTACTTTGGATATTTAAAACACTTAAAAATTTATACATCTTGGTGTGTGTAAAAATGATTGTCACTGTTTCTGTAATATTGATACTCACCAAAATGCTTTGTGTTTGTAGATTTTAGTGGCTAACGAGATGGCCTGTGAGTTATTTGGTTATAAAGCTGAACAGCTTTACGGAATGAAATTATCTAATTTACTGTCGATACCCAATCAGAAGAAACAAGAAGCGTTGATGGAGACCTATTTAGAACCATCAGGTGAAGTAGTTACAGTGTCTGGCAAAGTTGTAAGTATCTCTTTTGGTTTCCTACATTACTGCGATAACTCCCAATATGTACTGTCTTAATACCCATTCTCTGTGTACATCAATCAAACTTTTTCACAACCTTCTTTTTTTATCACAAATTCATAAAATAGTCCCATTTATAGTCTGCACTTTTCTTCAGAAGATTGGGACAATAATAGCCACATTTTTTGAGTAAAAACTGAAAATTGACTCAAATTTTGACTGTTGGCTCCAAAATTAGGGATCATTTCCAGAAATTTTGAAGAATATAAGAAAAAAGTGCAGATGAATTTTGGCAAAAAAGTCTGGTGGTGAAAAGGTTAGGGAAGAGTAGGTGGTGGTGGGTGCTCGCCGGTCGACCGCATTTTATGCAAATTTATGCATAGTTTCCATGACCTCGGTTTACCGCGGTCGTGTGCGGTAGGCTCGCATGGCAATTTACACCCTATTGTTAAGACTATGAATGGACAATATAGACTGGGAAACTAAAGGTTACTTACCGCCAAATTCAAATAATAAAAATCGAGTGGTACCAGAAGATTGGAAAAATCGTCTCTATTAGTTTGCAGAAGAACACTATTTTATTTTCACGAGTCTTGGTATAACATCGCAAAGCAACCCAGAATAATGTAGACCACACATAATGTAAAATAATATCACATTATTTTGAATTTACATCATGTATGGTCTCAGGATTTATTTTAAAAGATTAATGTTTCGCGTCTACCAATATAATCGGGCGAAGTATAAATTCCAAGTGTAAAACACTATGAGAGGCCGCAGTTTACGTTACCTCGAGACCATGCACTAGGTAGGAAAGGCAAGCCGAAGTCGAAGAGGGAGTGTCACACACTTGGTGCTACAATATATACTACAACAACTGGGTGATCAGTGAAAAAAATAGCGCACTTCTTGGCGAAACTGGCTAATCTAATAAACCTTGGCCCAAGTTTAACCCCAAGTCACGCGCTGAACAAGTGGGTTGTTACCTTGGTGACCATTCGCGCTCCGCGTGTTGACCTTGTTATTATACACATCCCATTACACAAATTTTTACTGGCTCTGCGTTGCCTACGTAAAAATTGTTACCGTTCTGGTTGTGAATATTTCACCATTGCCGACGTGATAATGCGTTGCCCTTGTAATAATTACGCAAACTTATTTTCCATTGTTTACGTACTGGCTGTGAATATTTCACCATTGCCGACGTGATAATGCGTTGCCTTCGTAGTAATTGCGCAAACCTATTTTCCATTGTTTACGTACTGGCTGTGAACATTTCTACTTTACTGACTTGATAATGCGTTGGCTTCGTAATAATTACGCAAACTTATTTTCCGTTGTCTACGTACTGGCTGTGAATATTTAAACTTTGCCGACTAGATAATGCGTTGCCTTTGTAATAATTACGCAAACTTATTTTCCGTTGTTTACGTACGGGTTGTGAATATTTCAACATTGTCGACTTGAAATTGCGTTGATTTCGTATAATTTGTATAATTTATAACTACTAACTATAACTAATGATAATACCAGACTTAGTTTTTCTACTTTAAAACTGACGGCAAAACACAATACAATTGTCCGAAGCCATCGAACTACGCGACTTAGTCGAAACCGCGACCTACTGCCTCAGAGACGGGGCCACTGAATAACTGTTGTTGATAATGATATTGTAAACAAACACGCACACACAAAACATGAAAGCCAGAAAAGTCAAGTCAAGAAACAACATTTCAAATAATAATAATTATGGTTTGACATCTATATCATTTTGAAATAAACTAAATTTCATGTAAATAAAATCCATACGTTACAATTTACTGTAATTTCAAACTCGGGGCAGCGTACTTTGAACGCAGAGTATTCGATCGCTTACATTTCGAGTAAAAAAAACAAAACAACGTCAGGTGCTTTTGAACTACGTGCGGTTGGCACAGTAACGGGCAATGACCTCAGCGGTTAACGCGCAATGAAATTCTAATCAAGCCAGCTAGCGTTATCGTACGATATCATAAAGACAATAATTATTCAATGAAAATGCTTTTCACACTCACGAGTACCATGGAACACGAACATGTAACAGAAAAATATCGTCTTTTGTTTAAAGAAGATTCTGTCAACCAAGAATACATGCGCAAGGCAAGATTTATGAAACGAAACAGAAAATAATCATGTCATTGTTTTGTAAACAGCTGTATCTGCATTCAGTCTGATGTTGTTTTTTTTCCTTATTTGGGGTAAACTGCATCACCAACATTTACACATTCTAGGTTTTTGACTTATTTTGTTGTTTATATCAGATGGTGTGTGATGTAAATTGAATCCTGTCACTCAAAGCAAATGTTTGCACAGTGCAAAATGTTTCTCGTTGCTATTTTGGACTGTTATCTCATTAATTAAATTATCACTACAAGGGGAAAGGGAAGTATAATAATAGTACCATAACAGAGGTTGATATGTTTCTGTACTGTCCAAGTGCATACTTTGTGTTATTCTCATAAAAACTTTTTAATATTGTGATTTTTATAGATGGAGGCCACTGACTCTACTGGTTTGGTGATACCAGTATCGCTGTGGATGAAGCAGTTAACATCAAGTAAGGATGAGAATCCCAAATGTCTAACAGTCATTGAACCAGTTGAGAGAACATCGGCTACACTCACCTTTGACTCTAATGTAAGTCACACAATTACTACGAATAATAATACTAATGGGGGTTTAATTAGTTTTTATGCATGATGGTATACATTTATTTGAGTTGGGCAAAATCAAATTAGTTTCACTTGAGGAAATGAAAGATTGTTCCCTGAATGCTGATGATTTTTTTTTTTTTTTTTTAACAAAAATATTGCTGAAAGGGTGATCACTATATGACAGTTATTCATTCTCTATACACTAACACAGCTTGGACTGTAAGAGAAAAAATGAAAATGTTAGTGATCCCAACAAAAAATGAAAATAGTAGTGGTCCCAACAAAAAATGAAAATGTTAGTGGTCCAAACAAAAAATGAAAATGTTAGTGGTCCCAACAAAAAATGAAAATGTTAGTGGTCCCAACAAAAAATGAAAATGTTAGTGGTCCCAACAAAAAATGAAAATGTTAGTGGTCCCAACAAAAAATGAAAATGTTAGTGGTCCCAAAAAAATGAAAATGTTAGTTGTCCAAACAAAAAATGAAAATGTTAGTTGTCCAAACAAAAAATGAAAATGTTGGTGGTCCCAACAAAAAATGAAAATGTTTGTGGTCCCAAAAAAAATGAAAATGTTAGTGGTCCCAACAAAAAATGAAAATGTTAGTGGTCCCAATAAAAAATGAAAATGTTAGTTGTCCAAACAAAAAATGAAAATGTTAGTGGTCCCAACAAAAAATGAAAATGTTAGTGGTTCCAACAAAAAATGAAAATGTTTGTGATCCCAAAAAAAAAAATGAAAATGTTAGTGGTCCCAACAAAAAATGAAAATGTTGGTTGTCCCAACAAAAAATGAAAATGTTTGTGGTCCCAAAAAAAATGAAAATGTTAGTGGTCCCAACAAAAAATGAAAATGTTAGTGGTCCCAACAAAAAATGATAATGTTAGTGGTCCCAACAAAAAATGAAAATGTTAGTGGTCCCAACAAAAAATGAAAATGTTAGTGGTCCCAACAAAAAATGAAAATGTTAGTGGTCAATCGATAGATATTTGTTCCTTCTGAAAATGAAATGATTGATAAACTCTGTTGGGTTGGTCTAAATTACATGCATTTCTTGAATATTAATTTAATTGGTTAATTATTAATAATTAAATAAAATATTGATACTAATGTACATGTAACACCCAGGGAAGTCAATACATCTTTGTTATCTCTAAAAATTAAATGATTGATAAACACTGTTGATCTAAGTCACATGCATGTTCTGAATTATTAATTATTGGTAATCAATTATTAAACACATTAAATATTTGATATATAGTGTATGTATTTAGCACCAGGAAAATTTCCAAAGTCAATTTTCAATCTCTGTCAGTTGCTCACAATATGATATAAATGAAGTATTTTATAGTATAATATTTTACAAATGAAGGCAATTCTAGTTGTAAATTCACTTAAAATGTTTCTCAGCTCAAGAACTTAATCCATAATTGAAAAGTCAAAACAAAGCAAAGTATCGACCAATGAAAATCCTTTGTACCAGGAGTAGAGTATCAGCCAATGAAAATCCATGTTACCAGGAGTAGAGTATCAGCCAATGAAAATTCATGTTTCCAAGAGTAGAGTATCAGCCAATGAAAATCCATGTTACCAGGAGTAGAGTATCAGCCAATGAAAATCCATGTTACCAGGAGTAGAGTATCAGCCAATGAAAATTCTTGTTTCCAAGAGTAGAGTATCAGTCAATGAAAATCCATGTTACCATTAGATGAGCATTGTCAATGAAAATTCACTATATTTCAAATTCATGTTACCAGTATCAAATTTTATAAGCTTTAATATAAGCAATGTTTTCTTTTTGTGGATGATGACGTATGTTTTCAATTAATTTATTGTTTGCCATTTGTTGGAAAAATCTAGGGCAAAGGTAATGTTATTTATTTAAAAGTATTTAATTGACTTGCCGGTTGGTGGTAAGTCAGCAGAGTGCATTCTTCAATACATGAAAGTAGAAATTATCATCATTGGAATGTCTAATTGACTCAAATTTCTACACCTGTTCTTTTCTTTCTAGGGCACTGTAATAACAGCTGACAACCAGTTAGCTTATCTCCATGGTTACACAACATCTAAAGAGCTGGAAGGAATGAATATCAAGCAGTTGATACCATCATTTGTGTTGCCAAAATCAGGAGAGCATTTGGAAAAGGTAGAATATAGTGATAACCATTTTTAGTTAACTAATAAGTAGTCTGGTAGTTAGAAGAAAAAGAGGCATGAACTGTAATTTTACTGAGTGGCTTCATGTATAAGCTTTTCAGATATTTCTATACATGATTTACATCTAGCACAGGTTGTGTATCAGTTGCATGTAAATTTCCCAACAAAGACTTTAACAATGTGTTAAAATAATCTTGGTAAATATATATATAGTTTTTTTTATTTGATGAAACAGGAATTTCAGGTTGTGTAATAGTTGCATGTAAATTTCCAATTAACAACATTGTTTTCAAATAATCTCACTAGATATTAATATAATTTTGTTATTTGATGAAACAGGAATTTCGTAAACAACGAGCTACTGGTCGAACAAAAGATGGCGCAACGTTTCCCCTGAGTGTGACAATTAAGTCACCGAGTGAACATATTACGGAACAGGATGTGAAACAACACAATAAAGGAACACCATTAGAAACGTTGAAGGAACATCCTACTGTGGAATCAGGTATAATCATCATAGAATTGAACATTTTCCATTCTCTGCGAGATCCTGTGTTTTGCATGAAATCAAATGTAAAAACACTAAAACCAAATGTCAGAGTGAAAATATCGTGTAGAGTTCAACAAACACAAAGTATTTCAGGGTATTTCCATGCTTAATAATATTTGATGATAATCTGTTTTGATGAAGTAAGGGTATCCAAACACAATAGTCCTCTTTTCAGCATTTTTTATATTGAACTATAAAAATAAATTGAATTTCAAAATCTGATTTTTGCCGCTGTTGTTCAGTCTGTGCCTATCATGCAATACACAAGATCTCACAGTGAACAGAATATCATATATTGAGTTGTGCTTTCAGATTTGTTGATACAATGTATTCTTTGCCTCTGCCAAACTTTGTACCTGTCTTCAAATCATGTCTAATTAGTCCCCGTTCGGACTTATGTTTTGACCTCCGTGTGCCTGTGCATGCGTGCGTCTGTGCGTCCGGACCTGTATCTTAGAAATGCCTGGACTAATCACAATCAAACTTCACACATACATCATACATGATATTGTACATATGCACGTCAATTTGTTTCACGATCTGATTCAAGATGGCCGGATGGCGGGCATTTTTGTGCTAAAAATCATCAAAATCATACATTTTTTGGCTGTTTACAGATGGATTTTGTTCAAAATTGGTATATACGCTAGACATCATAGGACCTTGATGCACATCATTTTGTTTTTCAGATAAGATCAAAAATTACCAACTGGCGGCCATTTTGTTTTAATGAATGTGGTTCTAGTGCCATATCGCTGACTTGTTTTGACTGATTATGTTCAAATTTTAAATATTCATTATAGATCATATCATAGATAGACAGATACAGTACAGTTCTCGCGGAAGCTTTGGCTTTTGTGGCATCATTGTCGCATACGCATGGCTTCATTGTCGCCTCAGCATCGCGTCATTGTGGCATCAGCTTCGTGTCATTGAAAATTGAAGCTGTGTTCGCCTCTCTTATTTTGTGGCATCATCGTGGCTACAAAAAGTATTTGAACTTTTGACGGTTGTTTAACATCTATGCACGGTTACTAAACTAGTAATCGTGATCTTATGAAAACCAGAAAATTGTTAGTAGTC